TTTGAGCAATTGCCCTTTGCTATTAATAACGACAATAACCATTGAGTGATTAGTTTATTGCCGGAGATCTACCTAGCTTTTATCCGCACGCGTCCTAACAGCCCCTAAATTACCTTGCGCGCGCTTTATTTACTAGAGATTTCGACTTTTTACAACTTTTAACTTTTAGGTACTTTTTCAATCGCTATAAAACTTAACATTTACAAATCAATATAAGTGTATAGCTATTTCACAAAATAAATGCGCTTTACGGGGGTACACCTGAAACCAGTTGTGTCTATTTAAGGTATTTTGATAATACGATTAAATTAAATTACCTTGCGCGCGCTTTATTTACTAGAGATTTCGACTTTTTACAACTTTTAACTTTTAGGTACTTTTTCAATCGCTATAAAACTTAACATTTACAAATCAATATAAGTGTATAGCTATTTCACAAAATAAATGCGCTTTACGGGGGTACACCTGAAACCAGTTGTGTCTATTTAAGGTATTTTGATAATACGATTACATGTAATAAAAAACTTATATTAATATTTAATTCCATATACACCTATATACAATCAAATAATTAATGCAAGAGAAATTTAGTTCTGAAAAATTATGAGACACACCTGACACCAGTTGTAACGGGTGGTTTTTTGGGTTAATTAACGCGGGGAGCGGGGCTGATATAGACTACTATCAGTCCGTTACAAGGATGTTACCACTAATCTGACCTTTAATCCAGCGACGGTTGCCGATGATTTGGTAATCCCAATAAGCACGAATTACCACACTAAGTCACTCGCGACGGATCTCCCGGAACACTTCGCGAATCCCGATATACTTACGCTTGCCAAGCACTGGGTAATTAGAATTAACAGGTACCCAAAGAAACACAGCCGATTCTAACCACAAACAATATATTTACAATTAAGAAGAAGAATAAAAATTAACAAAGGAAATAAGAAAAATTAATAATTTAACGGTAAAGAAAATTAACAAAGAATTTACGGAGAAATTAAGATTAAAAAACTAACTTTTGAATTAAACTGATAAGCGAAAACTAAATTAACTTTAGAAAAAGGTAACCTAAATGAATCTTATAAAACTAATACTTTAAACTACAAATTTTAAACTAAACCGGTCACTTAAGGTGAACGTAACTGCGAGCACCTGTATAAGCAATTTTACAATAAACTTAACAATATACCTGACTTTATTAATTACACTGACTGGCTAGAACTTCGACCTTCGAACTCGGAAACGACGCGCGCGAAATCTTGCAAGATAAAATCTGTCAAACCCTGTGGTACAGAGTATTTAAAGACTTTCTTAAGTCGAGGGCGTGACTTGCCTCAGGGTTGAAGTTTCTGGCCAATCAGAGGCGTGCAGTGAGAAATTTCTACCCCTACTTAACGCTGACTTTAGGGTGAATTCGGGGTTGCCTAACTACAAAGTTACTTATTTTCTATAAAAATTTAAATCTGTTAACAAAGTCCAAAACATTAAAATATCCTATGTCTGCAATTACTAACTACCCTTTTACTTCAACCTAAGTTATACAATTAGACAATTTTCTCGGGTTACATTAAATTCTTAAAACCTATCGGTAAAACTACTATACGGCTGGTTATATCCTTATCTTAGTCCTAATTCTTTAATCTAAATGATTATTAACTAAATAAATTTGTTATTATTCTTTTAACTACTTTCTCTATTATTTAATTTTCCAACGATCGATTTAAACAAAGGGAAGCGTTTTCAATTGAGCGTTAAGGCTTTTTCCAAGAAAAACATCATCTGGCTACTTTTTAGTGCGCGTTTCGGGGACAAAGAAACTTTCTATCTATTTATTTATTACTTCCAAAACATGCTCCTAGGCCCCCCCAAGTGACATCTGGCTCTCTTAAAAATCCTTCTAAGTATTAAATTTCTTAATTCTTCAAAACAACCATTTCTTTGAAATTTAGTGAAACTTCAGATTTTTACCCTATTACATCACAATGGGATAATAATGGACCTTTGTTACCTTCAACAGCTGTTAGAGAGGTAAATAGGATTATTATTAAAAACATATAGGTTATAAAACTCTGACTTTTGACATTTTGATATTCCAAGGTCCCAAATCTAGGGACCCTATGGTATTATTCAACGACATATATCGCCCTGTAGTTGCACTACCTTTCACTTGATGCAATGATTTTAGCATCACATTGACAACCGTGCCCGATCAGCTCATTGATGAAGTGTACGTCGTTTCCTTTTAAATTTACTATAAAAAATATTTGTTTCTACTCGCACTTTTAAAACGCCCATTATCGTACATGTTTTCATGACACTAAGTGATCTTTGAAATACACATTGACTTTATGGCGTTTTAGTCACAGGATTAAGTTAGCTTTAAGTTGACAACTGTCAACTAACTTAAAACTAACTTCAGCCCGTATATAAAAATATGTTGCTGACTTCAGTGGAATTTAAAAGATCACTTAGTGTCATGGAAACATGGATGATATTGGGCGTTTTAAATGGTTAAAATTTCAATTGGGTTCGAAAGTGGTCAATTTGGCGTAAAATGCCATACAGGATGTTTGGTAACTAAGGGAAAATGAAATGAAATGTCATATGTATAATTCAAATTCTACCCATGAAACAAAGAAAAACTTTAACCCAAATCGGACTTCGTAAGCGAGATATTTTAAGTTAAAAAGCATTGGTTAGTGTTTTTTCTCAATACTATTTAAAACTTTTTAATTGTAAGTAGTACAAATATTGTAAAATAAATTAAAATAACTATAATAATTATAAATTATTAGCTCTGGAGTACCCCAGGGCTCCAATCTAGCTCCACTTATGTTTAATTTGTACATTAATGACTTACTAGCATAACTCTTTTGTCTTACTTTGGACTATGCAGATGACATTAAAGTCTATAATAAAATATATAAACAATGTTTGTTCAGCAGCTGAAAGGTCATTGGAATTTGTTATTAGATCCACAATAAAATTTGTAAATGTTTCCCTTTATATGTTATATGTAGCATGCAAGCTTGAGTATGCAAGTTTGATCTGGTACCCAATATACACATGCCATCGTATAAATATTTACAGAGTTTGAAGAAGACGTTTAAAATACCTTTACACTTTAAAGTTGTATATATTGCATTAGTGCAAAACTCTTAAAAATACACGAGTTTCAATTCTATATTATGCACAATTCTTTGGAATGATGATCCTTGGTTAACTACAGGTCGATTTTTTATTGTTTTTATCGGTAATCCCTTGCAATTGCTATATGTCGCTGCTAACATATGTCCAATTAAATAAAATATTGAGTTAATTTTATACGGAAAATACACTGTGAGACAAAATAACCCGCAACCAGGGGGTAACTTTGCACACCCAGTTTTTAATTTTTATTTTTAAAACTCAGCCCTATGTAAGATTATAAACATAGTTATTATGAAAGAGTAACTCAAGACTCAAATTTTGATATACAATATTTAATGTTTATGATTGTTAAAACTACAAAAATGTTAAGATTAAGTTTGAAAGTGAGCTAAAGCCCCCCGTGTTTACGGTACATATATTTAATTTAAATAAAATAGATACGTACAAGTACAAACACTCCAAAATATTTAGCTGAGCCAGTATTCCATTTGTCCCAAGGCAAAAAATTTTTTAAAAACATACAACAATCCCAAGTAGCACAAAATATTGGTCCTTTATGGGGCGACCTATGCCCAATATTTTATCTGGGGCCAATATTGGATTTATTTAGCCGATGTTAGCCCTATATTGGCATAAAATGATAATTTAATATATCATTTCCAATGTTTATCCAAGTTTGGTCCTCTATATTGGCATATTATTTTACGCCAATATATCAATAACTATATTCAACGATGCTTTCGGATTTTTAAAAGTAATATGTTTGTTTCCAGGATATGTCTATAATAGTGGCGCAGGAACGGTTTTAAGTTGGGGGGTGGCGCAACCGACTACCATCCTTATTGTTTAGCACCAAATGGGTGTAAATAATAAAGACCATTCTTGCATATTACCCTAAGAATAACAAGGGTTATATGCGATTTCTTGTCTTATTAGCAATAACATTCGTTATTAAGTTAATAAAGCTCAAGCTGATCATTTTAGCACACGATACAAACGATTTTGACATTTTATCCTAATTAAGAATAACATAGACGGTACAAGACTTGTCTTATTGGTAGATTTTTGGAGGGTACATTTTATATCAAGTAACCCCCTCCCCCTATCATTTGGTACCTACTATGAACATAAAACAAACGTATTACTTTTAGAAATCCTACTACGTAGTAAGTACTAGGTGGCTCTTTTTTTCTTTCAATTTCTCCCTCAACTTTCCTAGAATATAATGTAAAACAATTCGGGCCCATGGTGATTTCCAATATCTGTTATATAATGTCAAACAGCTTCGGGCCAATGTTGGGTTTCAATATTGGACCACGCTAGAAAAAATCTGACGAAAGACATATTGGCCCAATATTATTGCTACTGGGGATGCCTTATTTAAATTTTGCTTATAACAAATGTTCAAAAAAACAAGTGAACTGTAAACATGTGTAAAATTGATTACAATTTTATCTATAATAATAATAATAATATGACTTTATTGCAGTAACATTTACATAAAAGTAAATAAATTGGCAAACTGCAAAAGTCGAAGTTTAGTATGCCACTTGTTCAATGTTTTTACTACATAATATGACATTTCATTTTTGTACTCTAGTTACAAAAACCCTGTATAATTGTCTTTTATGCCTCATATTTTCTTTTTTAAATAATTTCTTAATTAAAATACATAAATTAAGCGCAGGTAAATCTTTGATAAAGATCCCTCGTTAATCTGCAGATTAATTAACAAACGGGATAATCTAGTGGAGTTGTAAGTTTGCAATGATAAGCCTCCAGACATAGTTTACTTAAGATGCACGTTAAATCAACAAGGCAATTTAGGCTGGCGAGGTGCTTACCTAGGTATTGTGGCAATCTGCATGATACACATCGCCATGAAAATGAAGGAGGCGCACGCGATGTAGTAGCGAAACTCGAGATCCGGCTGGCTGCGGTATTCGCGCTCATGCTTTCTGTTTTCGAACCACAGCACTGCAGGGTGAATCTCTTCGCTGTTCCACCATTTCCTAAAATACGCCAAAACAATTTTAACTATGCATATACATTAGGGTGTTTCAAAAAAATCGACTTTTTCTTTTTCTTCAAATGGTCAGCAAATTCTTTCAGAGGATGTCAAAACAAAGACCTCGTTAAAATTTGAGCTTTTAATTTGAAGATTTAGAGGTCGCGGATCGCAATTTTCTATTTTCCATTTAAATAACATAGGAAATTTTTTTTTTAACTTTGGAATTTTATACGTCTATATCGAATCAACTTATGGCAAGGAATATCTTAGATTTTTATAGTAAATTTAACGCTCTATAAAAAATGTCTCTTATAATTTTTCTATAAATTGATTTCTTCCAGAGTTATTCCAGGCCAAAGTTTGATTTCCATCGAATTTTCTCGTTTTTTCAACTTTTAGCATCATGTAGTAAAAAAATCACATATTTATATCTGAAGTTTTAATGAAAATATGAGATGTGTATAATATGCAGAGTAATTTATATATAAATGCAGTTTTCTCGAAAATGGTGCATCTGAGCAATTCAAATCAAGAGTACATACTTTTCGTAAAAACTATAAATTCTCATAATTTCATAAAAAAAATTAAATTATTAACCCAGAAAAAAGTTGGGGCTATTTTTGTAACTTTTCCCCCTCCAAATGTTACGCCTATGATTAAATTTTAACAGTTTTGATCATAGATCTAGATTCAGCATGTCAAAATTACCAAAGTACCGAAAATTCATTTGTTCATGTTCAACCCTCTAGGAATAGTTTAAAAAAAAATATCCTCTTAGGCTCCTATTCAGGGGGCCGTAGCTCCTTTAGGGAGCATTTTTTGATAAATGTTTATTAAACAAAAAAGTGTTATTTTTATACGAATAATGCACTGTTTAAGTTTGGCCCCCTAATTTCGGGACACCCGTATAATGATAATTGTACCAAAAATGTTAAAGTTGATTCGATTCAGACGTATAAAACTTCAAAGTAAAAAAAAAATCCCATATTATTTAAATGGGAAATAGAAAATTGCGATCCGAGACCTCTAAATCTTTAAATTAAAAGCTCAAATTTTGGCGAGGTCTTTGTGTTGACATCCTCTAAAAGAATTTGCTGACCATTTGAAGAAAAAGAAAAAGTCGATTTTTTTGAAACACCCTAATATACATTAGGGTGTTTCAAAATAAGGCAATATTTTTTTTCTTCAAATTCATGTGATATTCTGGTCACTTAAGCTAAAAAAAATTCTGTCAAAATTTGAGCTCTTAATATTAATTTTAAAACGTCCATCATCGAATTTAAAGTTTTCCCATTGATTTAACAAGGAAAAATAGTTTTTTAACATTTATTTCTCCTGCATGCTATGTAGAACTTTTTTTTTTGATAAACAATCACTGGTCCTTTTTTAGCATTAAATTATCTACAAAAAATGAGTCCAGTTTGTAGATTCTACTCTTTCTATTTTATTAATGTTGAAACGTATAAAGTCTAAAAAAAATTGATATTTTTACATTTAGCGGGTAAAGTACTAATCGTAGATGAAAAAGTTAATTAGCAATTTTAAAGATCTTTTAATGCTCTACAAATTTGATTTAAACTATTTTGTATTATCATCTACAGTTCAAAAGTTATAAGTGTCTAAAATATTATTTTTATTATTCTGCATAATATATTATTATAATATTCACTGTAGGAAAAACGTTTAGGTACAATTTTGCAGGAAACTCAAAGCTCTATAAATAACGTACCAAGATTCTTCAATACACTCAATTAATCGGTAAAATAGCTTAACTTTTATGATATTCTTAATTTCATGATCCAGCTTTTGACTGCAAATAAAATTTTATACTTCGCTTTAAAACAGTTTTGAAATACTAAAAATAATTTTTATGGTTTATGGTGCATAGCAACCAACAACTTTTTAATGGTAATTTAGGTACCCTGAATCCAAAAATGAACATCATTTTGCTCAATCAGCTCTTGTTTTTGCGATGTAGACTAAAAAACATTTTTTTCGATATTGCATTGAAATTTTAACACAATAAAGTAGATAAATAGAGCTACAAATAGGGTAAATTTTATTTAAATCGGGCAAAAATTGATCATGCTGTATCACTTTAAATTTTAAAAATATCCGATTATCTTTCGATGAAAGCAAGGTTTTTAAAGAGAATACCATTATCAATGTATATGGTATTTTTTTTCAGTTTAATAAAGACCCATAGCAACATTAACAACTATCCTTGCTTAAATTATAAGTTTATAAAAATATATTTAAGCATTTGAATGTGCGCATATAAAAAAATGTTTTTTTGTCTACATCGCAAAAACAAGAGCTGATTGAGCAAAATGATGGTCATTTTTGGATTCGGCGTACTCAAATTACCCTAAGAAAAGTTGCCTACCCTGCACCAAAATGGCTGTCGTTATGCATAATCATGAAAATAGGATTTTAGACACTTTTGAACTGTAGGTGATAAAAAAAATTGTTCAGAACGAATTTGTAGAACATTAAAAGATCTTCAAAATTGCTAATTGACTTTTTTTCTACGATTAGTAAGTATAGTAGTATCAAATTTGTTTAGAAATTATACGTTTCAACGTTAATAAAAAAGAAACAGTTGAATCTACAGACTGGACTCAGTAAGATTTTTTGTAGATAATTTAATGCTAAAAGAGGACCAGTGATTGCTTATCAAAAAAGAAAGTTGTGCAGGCGAAATAAATCTTAAAAAACTATTTTTTCTTATTAAATCAATGAGAAAATGTTAAATTCGATGTTAGACCTTTTAAAATTAATATTACAAACTGGACTCTGTAAGATTTTTTTATAGATAATTTAATGCTAAAAAGGGACCAGTGATTGTTTATCAAAAAAAAAAAGTTCTACATAGCATGCAGGCGAAATAAATCCTAAAAAACTATTTTTCCATGTTAAATCCATGGGAAAACTTTAAATTCGATGATGGACCTTTGAAAATTAATATTAAGAGCTCAAATTTTGACAGATTTTTTTTAGCATAAGTGACAAGAATTTCACATGAATTTGAAAAAAGAAAAATATTGCCATATTTTGAAACACCCTAATGCATATACATACATACATAAAATATTTTTCTATACACTAAATTTTATTAGTTCTTAATTAAACTTAATTAAATATTTTTGTATCCTAGCATTAAACAAAATTTAGTTATCTGTTATTGCTTTAGTTACCAAAATTCTATACAAAATAATAATTGCGAAATATTTTCTTGAGGTAATAATGCTTTTTATATTTACATAAAATAAAAATTACCATGCAATGTCAACTATTTTATAAAACCAAAATTATAATAGAACATAATAATTATTTATGTTTCAAGCATTATAAATTATTTTTTACGGGTGAGCTGGAAGTTTGTATAATCCAGTGAGTCTAGTAAAAAATAATTGCAAAGCGTAACACGTAGGTACAAACTTTTATTTTCACCTTCATATGGCCATTTTCAAATTTAAAATTTAAATTAATTTACGTTTTCTACTCCCACCCAAACGTCTATTGTCGTACATGTTTCCATGGCGCTAAGTGACCTTTTAAATACACATTAAAAAATTATGGCTTTATGTCGTTTTAGTTACGTGCTAAAGTTTGCAATAGGTTTTTAGTCACGGGCTGTAGTAAGTATTAAGTTACTTAGTTGACAGTCAAATAACATACAATCGTTAAAATGAAGTGCCCTTCGTGTGAAATAATAATGTGGAAATTATTTTATTATCTTAATACAATTTGAAAAGTTTATATGCAAGTTTGTAGTGAATAAAACATTCACTTCACTTTCACTCTATATCATCATTTAAACTGTAGGTAGTCCATTTTCAAGGGATAAATTTTGATTTAAACATTCAAATTTAAAATTTTGATTAGTGCGCCGGTAATACAGATTCCCAAGTTAGAAATTGTTACGCGAGTTACTCTATTTTTTTATAGATGTCGCTTTATACAAATATGGGAACAAAACTGTAATTTGCTTTATAAGTCTGTTATATTGGTCTTCTACAAGCCCCTAAAAAATTACAGGTCTGTTCCCGTAATCTATCGTTTACTTGGTAACAAAAACAATAAAATTAACCTATAAAATGTCATTTACTAAGAAGGTAAAAATAGTATATTATTATACGAGAGATAATGCGTCTCGAGTCGCCAGACGGGAGACCTAAATTTTCCGAGTGAATAATGCGCATAATCACGAGTGTAATACTATACTTTATCTATTTCAATAAGTAGATAATTCAAGGATTTTCAAAAATAAATAAATGCAATATGATATCTGTCAAATGGTTAACCTCACTTCTTACCAAGTTTAAATTTTATTATAGTCGTCTTCTCCTAATTTAAAACCTGATTGCATGGAGCCTACACAAGGAGCCCGAACTTAATAGGGAAAATTGACAAAACCTGTCCACTAAATTGCACAAATTAAGTCTATTTTTTTCACCACCAGCAGCGCTGTTTGTCAATGCGTCCGTATGACGTGAAAATAGTATCAAAAATACATGTGAAGTAAGCAAGTAATTTTGACAATTGATTTGCAATAATGTTTTGACGTACGAATCGTTTTGTTATTTATGGCTGTACCTTGTAGGTAGATTTTAATAAATAGGTTTTGGTTGTGAAATATAAGTGATTCTTTATAATCTGTGAAGTGATTTTACGATTCTGGAGAGGCAAAATTAGATTTTCAGGTTAGAAAAACACCGCTATTTAATAATTTAAATTTAATTCTAATAAAAATGTATGTATAAAATGAGTAAACAGCGATAAACTGACAGTTGCATAACCTCAATTATTTCCACAATAATAAGTGGTAGGTAGTGGCGCCATCTCTGGTGTTTTGGGCCGGTAGTACACCAGCGCCCTCTTATCTTAGGAAGATTCTTGTTTACATGAAGTTAGGGCTCCTTGTATAGGCTCCATGCCTGATTGGTTCAAATTACAGTGAATATTGAAATCGGCCAATGACTGATGCCTTACAATGTG